TCCTTACTACACAGTACAGTTCCAGACTCCTTCATCCTTACTGCACAATACAGTTCCAGACTCCACTACTTCATCCTTACTGCACAGTACAGTTGCAGACTCCTTCATCCTTACTGCACAGTACAGTTGCAGACTCCTTCATCCTTACTGCACAGTACAGTTCCAGACTCCTTCATCCTTACTGCACAGTACAGTTCCAGACTCCTTCATCCTTACTGCACAATACAGTTCCAGACTCCACTACTTCATCCTTACTGCACAATACAGTTCCAGACTCCACTCCTTTGTCCTTACTGCACAGTACAGTTCCAGACTCCTTCATCCTTACTGCACAGTACAGTTCCAGACTCCTTCATCCTTACTGCACAATACAGTTCCAGACTCCACTACTTCATCCTTACTGCACAGTACAGTTCCAGACTCCACTCCTTCATCCTTGCACATGAACTGCGAGTGCACTATTGCTCTGATTTACTGCATGGACAAAGGCCATAGAACTAATGCAACACTGAGGTCTATTTTGTCACCAGATTTAAGCTTCGCCTCTCTCTCTCTCTTTTTTTTAAATAATACTTATTTATTTTTTAACCAATAAAACTTATCTGGTTTATTGAAACACTAGACATTGATTATAGAACTCCAACACTGTCTATTTAAGTTTACTCAATTTGAATTAACCAACATGTAGGAGGGAAATTTCCCCTAAACCTGTATATTACAAAAAGTGCAAGGACAATAACATTCATGTAAAAATAGCATTATTAAGTCACCAGGTATTACTGAGAGATTCACAGTTAATGAATTGGCTAGAATGATGGGCCTGTGGCCATGTCTGTGAAAGGCTATTTCAACTAATGATAAATGTGAGAGAGCTTGGCCCAATGTGGGCACACTATCCCTAATCAGGTTGGTATGAGCTATATAAAATCTTAGCTGAGTGTAAGACAGTGGACAATCAAGCCTGAAAAGAACATTTCTCTCAGGGTTCTGCTTCAGTTCCTGCTTATGTCCCTGCCGTAATTTACTTTGATGGTAGACAGTGACAGTAAGTCAAATAAATGTTCCCCCTTAAAACTACTTCTGCTACTATAACATATCTTACCAAAGAAAACAAGCAACAAAAACACATCTATTTGTAATTTTTAAAAAGAGGAATCAAAAGTAAACTTATCTCTGCCCTGATTTGTCCCAGTGTCTCAGCATAGTTCGTGTGCTAGGTTTTTATCCCATTAGCTCAGTTCTGTGCTCATCTCATTTATATACACGTGATGAATGGAGCCTAATGTATACTCAGAAACTGACTACAAAGATATCTGAGCAGCCAATCAATGCCTTTAGCATTTCTTATATTTTTCCTATGTATGGATACAAAGTAGAAGCCAACTTAAGTGAATCCTGAGCATGAATATATATTAAATCCCATAAGTTCGACTTCCTGTTCCTGTGATAAATACCGTGACCAAAGGCATTATGGGAGAACAGTTTATTTGCCTCTCTCTTAAGAGCTTGTTCCTTTGGGATCTGATGTATCCTGGGCTGGCATCAGCTTATGTAGGCGAAAAGAATCGTGAGCTTCTGACCCCTGCACATGTACCGTCCATCACCTGCAGGGATTATAGCTCTGCACCCCTGTCGTGCTGAATATTGGGCCCAGGGTCTCATGCATGCTCATCAAGCCCTCTTCTCACTGAACTAAGAGGCAGGTTCTAGTTAATCCTTGTGTATGTGTGTCTGAGAGAGAACTCCATAAAATGCCATTTACATAAATGTTTAAGCATAATACATAATATTTTGCATTTGGCTTCTTGCACTTAGCTTTATGCATCCACATTGTTTTGTATATGTTGTCTACACTGGAAATTTACTCATTTCTCTGTAGACTAAATGTTTTATTACATATGTGTTCATCCATTATCTACTTGAAGAATGTGTGAATTCATTCCAGGTTTGGAGTGATTTATAATATAAGTTTTATAAAATTATATTATATATAATGTATTATATATAATATATTATATGTGTGTTTTATATAATATTATATATAATATGTTATTTTTATAATATTGGAGTGGAAAAATTCACACAACTTAGACATTTGTAAAACTAACAAATATCTCTTTAAGTAATGGAGACCAACAATCTTCTTAGCATCCTGTTTTTTTATCTTATGTTCCAACTTCACCCAAAATGCCCACATAATTAATATTCAAACTACAAAAATCACCATGATATCAGGTAAAATATCTAATTGTGCTTGAACAACACAGCCTGTATTATTCTGCCCTAAGAAACCACATACCTTTACCTTCTTAAGGCATCATGAGCATCCGCCATAACAGCATCCAAAGAGAGGAACAGAAATGGATTACCTGGTGTTAACAGGATGACCGACATCGTGATGAGTGAGCATACTACCAAGATCACCAGCAGGGCAATAGCAATTCCCTTCCAGTTCCTCTGTGGAGGGCTGTTACTTCCCAGTTCCTACAGAGACAGAAAGGGAGTCTCATAATTATACATGCTCCAGGAGAAATACTTTCTAAAGGAAAGATTCAGCACCGGCACAATCACAGTTTGAAAGCTGATTAGAATCAGTTTTCTCTTCAGCAGCTTTTTTAATTATTCAAAGGTGCATGGATTATAAATGCCTATCTTTGGGGGAGTGCAAACTCCTTTCTCCAGCAGGGAAGGTAGCAGGGCTTTATACCTGCCGTCTTGGTGTCGACAGTGCTCCAATGACTTAACTGAGGGCAGCAGCCCCTCACTGGTGCCGGGCAGCAACAGTACCAACTTACATGTCCCATCACCACAGTGGAGGATGCCACAAAGGATTAAATACACATTCATTCTTGAAGAACTGTCAGCTGATGTTCTAAACATATGAGGGAAAACGGTGGAAACAAGAAAAGGTCACACGAAATTCTCTACCATCAAACAGTGCATATGTGTCAACAGAGCAGGTTTTAAAAATATTTTTACCAGCATTAAAAACGAGCACAATGTAGTAGCTAACTGAGTTCTTCTATCAATGATTAAAAACATCCTCTCACTGGGCAGTGTGCAGATATACCGAGGAGCTAAGACGGATGCAAGAGGGTGAAGTGAACATCTCTCACAATGCACATAGTGGAGCTACTCATTTTTCAACTGACCTAGGTTCTATCCTGCTGCCTGGAAATGTAGAAGCCTAATTTGCCGAGGTGAAGTCTAAAACACACAAGTTTGAAAGCAGTGTCAGATTTTCACTGAAATAAGTTTATACAGCATGGAGCCTGGAACTGGAGGGATGGCTCAAGATTTCAGAGCGATTAATGCTCTTGCAAAGGACCACAGTTCTGTTCCCAGCACTACATTAGGTAGTGCACAATCACCTGCAAGTCCAGCCCCAGGGCTCCAGGGCTCTCCTAGTCTCTCTAGCCACCTGCACTCACATGCACATACCTACATGCACAAATTCTCTCTTTCTATCTCACCTCACACACACAAGCACATATAAATATCACATTGACGCAGATTCTCATATTGTGATTCTAGCATTGAATACAGTCATAATCACGCTCACTGTTGAAAATTGAGACAAGGAGAGCTCGTTCCATGGGAAGTGGTGTCCTTAGTTGTTTTCCTAGCAGCCCCCCTAACCACATTTGCTTTTCATTCAGCTGAAAAGCTACAGGGACTTTCCATACACCTATTCCCAAATCTTGTTTTCTCTTTGTGTGTGACTGCTGTGCGTGTGTTTGTGATGCATGTGTGTGGGTGGGTGACGCGCCTGTGAATGCAGAGGCCAAAGGAGGACATCAGCTGTATCACTCCATTCCTCTCCCTCTTACTACTTTCAGACAGGCTTTCTCCCTGAGCCTGGTATTGGCCATTTTTTCGTCTAAGCTGATGGCCACAAGCTCCATCATCCTCTTGTCTCTGTCTCCCACATCACAGAGGTCACAGGTATGTATACCCACATCCTGCTTTTTACCTAGGTGCTCAGAATCTGAACTCAGGACCTCATGTGAGTGTGCCCACTGTTCATACTCACTGAGCCATCTCCCCTAGCCTTAATCTATGCTGATTCTGTAACTCCTCTCTTTCTCTTCTATATATGAGAATTTTATTCATTTTTTACATAAATGAAGTGAGCTGTTAATACAGCATTCATTTTAGATTAGCCAGCACAAACTATAGGTGATGACAGAGGACAAACTTCCATAGAATGTAGTATTTCCAGAGGCTTTTTATAAATTAATTTATTTTTTGTTCACTGTACACCCTGGTTGTAGCCCCATCCCTCCTACCCTCCCAGTCCTACCCTCCTTCCCTTCCTCTTGCTCCATTGCCTATTCCTCAGAAAAGGGGATCACACAGGCTTTTCAAGGAGTCCATCTACCGCATTGGATTGCATATCCGATATCCTGCATGTTAGACATTTATATTACCATTCACAACAGCAAAATTACGGTTATGAAGTAGCAAAAAATAATTTTATGATTGGGGTCACAACATGAGGAACTGTATTAAAGGGCCACAGCTTTGGGGAGGTTGAAAACCACTGATCTACTGAATGAAGTATATGTAATAATGCATAATTGTCTGTGGTAATGCTTACACGCTCCTCGGAAGCCAGGAGATAGAAGAAGTCACTGTTATGAGTGAAAACCATCAAATGTCTTGAATGTTATCAAATGCTCATTTCAAGCACCAAGGAATAAGGGTGGAGAGATGGTGCAGTTGGAAAAAAATTCCTCTGAAGCATGAAGATTGAAGATTTACATTTGATTCAGAGTATGCATGTAATATAAGAGAAGCTAGGTGTGGAGCCAGGTGTAGACTCTTAAAATCTCAGTTATGGATATGGGGTGGAGACAGGAGGATACTGCTTTCCAGCTCTTCTGACTAAATCATTGCGTCAAAAACCAGTGAGCGAGTCTGGTCAAGAAAACAAAGTAAATTTTATCCTTAGGAATGACAGCAGGTGTTTACCTCTGCCCTGTGCACACGTGTATACACACATAGATAGGCACCTGCACATACACACAGAGAGAGAGAGGTCTTAAAAAACATTTTCTTTAATCTCATGTCTGCGAAATGTGGGGGAAAAACTTAATACCATTATTCTTCCTAAAACAGATATGCTAGTACTTAGGGCTTAAAGCCTGAGCATTGATTGCACTGATTCTTCAGTCTGCTTCTGAACAGTCACCAGCTGTCCCAAAACAAAACTCCTCGTCTTTTATCTCTTCCCTGTATTCTCTTTAGTGCTTCAGTAACCTTCCTACGTGCTTAACTCTGCAAATACAAACATGCTAAAAAGCAACCCAATAAAACTCCAAATCATTTCAAATGAGGCAACAGATTGTATCAACTCACTCCCTCTTAGAGAGCTAAATTTTTTGAATTATTTTGATTTGAATTGTTTCCATTATATTCACCCTGTTCACATTTTTAACTGCAAATAGTTTCAAGGATGATTTGGTCACAAGTGGTCCAAGGACATTTATACTGAATTGCATATATTTAACACATTTGAGATTCCTCACATGGAGCACAAAAATGGAGTTGGTTTGAATACATTAATGACAAACTCAGAAGAAACTAATAATGTGTATGTGTCATTTTAAGGAGAGAAATTCAAGCTTCTCCACCAGATGCTATTTGACTAAGAGCAATCCTAGGTTTGAATCATCTGCTTTACTTTCCCTGTGTCTTCCATTGTCCCTGCCTGTCTGAATCTGTGCCTGTCTGCAGGCTCTCTTCTGAATCTGTCTCTGTATCTGAGTGTGTTCCCAACAAAGGGCTTTGCTTTGTCTTTCTTGACCAACGCAGAAGGTATCACTGGGGAAGGAATGGAATCCTTTACAGCAATCATGAACAGAGTTTTATAAGGAATTTAGTCACTGACTACAACTGTCCCCACCTATCCCAGACAACGAAGAGTATTACAAACATCATTGTTTACATATCTTCACCTTATATTTAACATTCATGATGTATAGTCAGTTTATAAGATTGCTTTCAACATATGTTTTATGTTTTCAACCAATGATTATCCTAACACACCCACATATACACATGCATTGCTCTCTGTGTCCTGGGGCAAAGGAGAGTGAGTACACAGCTTAGAATTATAGCTATGCATCAGCTTAGTTTTGTAAGAGCTGATTACATAGGGGATTCGATACATTAAGGTGAATTTTTCCACTGTTCTGTTAAGGGCAGTTTAAACAAACAGGCTGAATACACAGCAGTCTGAAGCTTCATGTGATCTCCAGGTGAATTAACTCTGGCTATCAGGTCCAGCAAAAGTCCCAGTCTTTTAAAATTCAAGAGATATTTTCATGATAATGTATTGCTTCACTGAGCAATCTAAAATTATCTTAAAAAGAGGCTAAAAAAACCAACTTCTGAAAGTTGTCCCCTGACTCCCAAACACACACCATGGGACCCAAACAGACAGACAGATGGACAGACAACAGGACACATACACACACACTAATAAGAACAATAAATAGCTAAGTGTAATAAAACTAAATGTAGATTTTCTGTATTGTTTTATATTAGAGAAAGAGCATTTTAAAGGTAATTCTTCATAAAGTAACTGCCATGATTGAGAATGTGTGTAAGATGTAGTTAGAAAAATGTTTAGATCTAGCTTGGAAAAAAATCTCAAAGCACAAGACTCTGGCATCATTTCACAAAACGTCTGGAGTGACTGTAGCGTTTAGAGTTTGAGTGCATGACACAAGACGCACTGGGGTGATGTTAGAATAAGACGTGTGTCCAAGAGCATAGAGCATGCTGAAGAGCTAGACAACTGCCAAATAACGCAGGGCTACGCACAAAGCTACACACTCTGCAGTGGGAAATGAGAACTCTCACTCACTTCTTCAAATTGACAGGAAATAATCATTTTGCATAGTCAACACGTACTCGAACAACTCCGGTAATATGAGGACAGGTGATCCCTGGAGGGCACTGGCCTGGGAGTCTAGCCGAACAGGTGAGCACTGGGTTCAGTAGGAGGCAGTTTCTCAGAAAAGAAGGTGGGGAGCATTGGAGAAAGACAACAGTGCTGACTCCCTTCCTCTGCACTCACCCACACACTTGTGCACTCCCTCTTCTAACACCCAAAGTAATCACATTGCACATTGTTTTTTAATCTGGTTTTTACAAATACATGCAGCTGGACTGTAGCGGGTGGAGCTAACTCAGCAGCTGCAGCCTCACCTGGATTCTGTTAGAACTGCAGAGTGGCCTAACAGTGTCTAAGTATGATACCTGCAGCCTCAGTGCCTTTTGCTATTTACTTTGAGATTTTTGTTTTGTTTTTATCTTCTTTCTCACTATTCCTTTACTTCTGAAAGAAATGGAAACTGCATCAATTACTGTTTGTCATTCTCTTCTCCCCAATAATTATAACTGTAGCCAACCTGCTTTTACAGCATGAACACCATCAAGGGGGGAGGGAGACAAGGGTAATCACCCACACACTC